TTGGTGACATCAGTCACAGTTGAGGACAACCCACTGCAGCACTAACTGTATGTTGCAGTCTGGGATTTGCAGAAGGAAAGCTATCCAAGCACAACAGCAGATCCAAATCCAAATGGCTAAAAAAAAACAAAAAAAACACAACAAAATGAAGGTTCAGAAGTAACACAGTAAAAGTCCACATATGTTTCATATCCTGTTTCCTGATCTTAAACAGGCTGCTAATGCATAAATAAATCTTCCAGTGTTGCTCAACTGAACAATTTCTGCAAACTAGAGTGGCTCAGGTTTCTTGCAGTAAAAAAATGACTGACTATAATTAATTGGAAACTCTTGATGGTAAAAGTCGCCCCTAAGGATGGGGCAAGCAGTCGATAGGTTTTATTTTTTTACATTTGAGTCAGGTTAGCTGCTCTAAGCAACAGCAGGATATTTGCCTACAAAGCTGCTCTACACCCAGAGCGCAGAGGGGCTGCTGCTCAGAGAGCAGAATTCATGAGGATTACTCAGACATGAACAGGCTAATTAAAATACCCCTTTTGTCCATGAAGGGATATCTGTATAACAAAGTTTAAAGCACAAACATGAATGTTAATTTTGCTTGATATAGACCCTTTAATCTGTGTATTAAATCACAAATACAGAGAAGATCTGGAAATATTTTTTTACTATATTGTAAAGATGTCATTTGTTGTGTGTTTGCATGTGCAGCAGAACCGCCCAACAGTAGACATGGACTTTCCAAAGCATACCATTCTGCAGGCCTTCTGTGTAATGCTCCTGGCATGGATGCTGGTGCGCTGCCAGACCCCTGTTGAACCTGAGCAGGAAGAGGATGAAGAGGTAGTGATGGAAGCTGACAATGCAACTTTGGCAACATCCGAGTGTCCATCTGAATGCAGCTGTACGGCAGACGGAGCAGTGGACTGCGCTGGAGTTGACCTTACAGAGTTCCCAGAAGAGCTGCCCAATAAAATTCGCCGTCTCTCTCTACAGGTCAAACACAAATAAACACACAGTCGTTTCAGAAACAACTACACATGAGCAATTTGACATTTGTTTTGCCCAGAACATAACGTTCTGCCATTGTAAAGATTGCATGTTTTCTGATTGCAGAACAACAAAATCAAGGAAATAACAGTGGAGCACATTTCCCATCTGCATCAGCTTGAGACTCTCAACCTCCAAAATAACTGGCTGACCACAGAAGGTAAACACAGTGACCCAATCGCAACACTACACTGAAGCTCTGTGTTCACAGGGAAGCAAAATGCACGCAGCGTTCCAAGGGCGTTCTGATCAGACAGAAAGGAAAAGTTTTAATAGTGCAGCTTAGACGATTGATGCTAATATCCTCAGTAGAAATCTCACTGGGGCAAAATAATTACTGTTATTATATTCATTGTCACCTCCTGCCTGTTTCAGCTGTTTGTGACAAGTGTTTAAATACAGAACATGAAAACAAGAAATGAATGACAATAAATAGGAGGGAAAGATTTAACTGTTTTGACAGAAAGGTTTTTGAAGTGTTGGAGTAGTGAGGTTTTGCTGATGGTTAAGTCTGAAAAGGACTTTAAAAAAAAAAAAATCTATTTTTTCCCACTGCAAGCCTAAGAAAGAACTCGATCGACTAGCATTACCATTTTGTTTCTCATCCGTTTCAATTTTTTATTTATTTACTAAGATATGAGGCTTTGTTTTAAGAGATACTCCAGCCTTGACATGATTCTTGGCACTAGTTCTGGTCTAATTCAGGATTCATCTCACCTGTCAGCTCCACCCCATTCCCAATCATCCTCCATCAGATCCACCTTTAGGTTTTAACGACAACTTGCATCCATTATTGTTGCACTACTGCCAATGTTTGGATCAAAATATCTATCCATCAAATTCTCATAATGATCCCAGTATAAAAAAAAAACAAAAAAACAAAAAAAAAACCAGAAAAATCTTCAATTCCCCCTAAACACTATTGAACTTTTCAGCCACATTTTCAAATTTCAATTCCCATTAAAACAGAATTCTGTTTATAATAATGTTCTTTCATTAACAAATTTTCTATAACTAATAAAGACATGTTTCATTATTTCTGCATTATCACGCCAACTAGAAAAAACAGTACTGTAAGTAACTATTTTGTATCCTATTATCCCACCTAATTTTCCATATCTTCTTGCTTTCTCTCCAAGCTATACTTTTGCCTTCAAATTTAGAAAACTTTACTGGGAAAACTCACTTGAAGGTGATGAAATGACAACAAACAAGCAACAATGACTGAGCAGGAGGTGCATATATGGGAGAGACAAACAAAGACCAGGCTAATCAGCAGACTGGGAGTAGGTGTGAACAGAAGAGTCTAGAAGGGAGCTAGGGGAAGGAAAGTGACACAAGAGGGCAAACAAGAAATACCTAAGAACTCAAACACATCCAGAAAACACCACAAAATAGGAATTAAACCAATAAAACTAGAAAACAAAGAAAAACATGGATCAAAGTGAAACTGAAACCTCAAAAGAAAACTTAAACAGAACCAAAACCGTGACACTGCGCTGTTATTGAAGCTGACTTTTTGATTAAGATGAGGTGGTTAAAATAGAATTTTTGACATAAAGCAACACAAAACAGTACATTTTAAACTGCAACATGAGTGAATTCAATTCCATCAATAAAATCCAATGAATTATTGAGACGCAGTAATAATTAAACTGAGCTGAACTGGCCCTTCGGCAGATTGGGGACCAGGCCACAGTGTACCCCACCTTTGGAGATAGACACCACCATGATCCCGATGGTTGGATGGACTGAACTGGCATAAATACTCTGATTAACATACATCTAAAACCGACTTAACAGCATTAAGTTATTAAGAATAACTAGAATGCTGGATTTAGTGATCGTAATATTGTTTAATTACTTAAAAATAATAATCTTTGCATTTAGTCAACTATGTTTAGTTGAACCAGTCGACATAACTTGGTAATGTAAATTGATGACTTTTTTCTACAAGGAGCTATTAAGCCTCCGAGAGCTAAGGTTGGTCTGAGAATGAGTGAAATCATATTAAAGGAAAAGTCCGGTCAGCAAGGAATAATCAATGGATCATTATTTACACCTAAAACAAATACGTTTGCAGTGATTTAATGAATTAAGCGTTAATCAGTAAAAAAATAAAAACAATATTTTTCGTCTGGGTGCGGCCTTTTTTGCCCAAATATAGTAACCCCTCCCTCCTGCCATCTTCCGGCAGTGACGTCACAGGGCCGGATCTATCAAAGGTTTGCGTGTATTAAAACGTGAGCTATTTCACTGCGCA